AATGTGAATCACTGCCAATACAGATCACAATGCATACTGATTTTATTTACCAGAGAGCCTCTTCTCTTCTGTTACATAACTTCTTCAGCATTTAGAACAGCTTGTAAATGACACTGGCTCTCATGTTTGCAAGGATAAAGCATTCCAGCCTTTTTGGTCCCCAGTTGTGCTACAGACATTTGGTTTAAGGCTCAGTCCTTCAAAGTGAATCAACAATGCCATGTCTGTCAAGGCAGTGAAAACATGCAGCCACGCTGAGGCCTTTGTCAAAGGAGCACAAAATGTAGTTCACATGTAACTGATTCTTTGCTTTTGTTTTGTCATTAACAGATGCTTGTATAATGTTAATTGTTTATTTCTTAACCACTAATGATTTAATTAATAAAAACTATTTGGTTCACCGTTGATGTGTTTTTATTTCATGTTGCAGACAAAACTGTAGAAATAGCATGTGGTTACAAAATGCATTTCCAGTCAATGTGAATTTCAATGTGGTATCGTCGCCTAAGTTACCGATGATAAATTATAGCTGTAGAGAACAAAAACACTGTTACAATTTAGAGGTAGAACCTAGAAAAGAGGTAGAACCTAGAAAGTACAAAAACATGTGGAATCTTTTTTGTTCTAACAATCATTTTGTTAATCATTATTACTGTGAAATATTTGGATTTACCACAGATCTTTCCACAAGCACCACATCTTATATTTATCTCAATATGACGAGTGGGTGTGCAGTCTTCTGTGTGGAGTCTGAATGTTATTCCCGTGCCTGCATGTGTGAGCTTTCACTACTGGGTACTACACTTCCTACTACAGTCCAAACACATGCAGACTGACATTTAAATTGACTGTAGGTGTAAATGGATGTAGCAGCTAACAGTTGGCAGTTGGCAGAGATACCTGCAGAATGATGACAGATAGAGATGACAAAAAACTTGACATGTCGTATGTTGTGCAGCTGTGGCTCAGGAGGTAGAGCGGGCGTCCACTACAGCTCCATTCCGTTTGCCTAAGAGTCCCTGTACAAGACACTGAAAAACAGACTGTGATAGAGAAAGTGTTGCACATGCACTGTATGAATGAGTGTGAATGGGTGAATGGCAAAAAACTGATTCAGTCAAACGCTTTGAGTGGTCATCAAGACTAGAAAACATTA